GAAACCAACTTCGTTAAATATGCAGATGACCTGACTGTTTCGCTTCCCGTTAAGTCTCAGTCAGACTAATTCAAATTAAATAGCTTCCTGTCGGACATCAGTCAGTGGTCTAAACTAAATGGCCTCATGCTGAATCCCTCAAAATGCCAGACTGTTGACTTCTCCTTTAGGCATAAACGAGATCTACAAACGCTAGTAAGTACGAATGAAGCCTGTAGCATTGAGAGAACTAAAATTGAAACGAAGTCTAACGAAAAACACCTCGGATTAGTTCTATCTTCCGACCTTACATGGTCATCTCAGATCCTAGCGATTTCTAAGAAAGTGTTCCATCTAGCCTACTACATTAATAAACTTAGACTATCTGGGATCACCCCACCCCACACCTCTGCATTCACAATTTGTCAACTCTCATATCTTAACTACTCTACTTTACTGATCCTCATTAGTCTTTCCTGGGCTTCTGAAAAAGGACTATGCCATTCTGGGAAGGATGTTGAAGGTAGTCAGTAGAACTAGTGGTGTAAAACTCAGTCAGCTCGTCACTACATTAGTAGAGAGGCATCTGAATACATGCGAAAAGTGGTCTAAAACCATAATCTCCGACTCCCAACACCCCATCTACTCCCAACTCCCTCCTTGTATCTCATCAGGTAGAACCAGAAATCAGTACAAAATAACATTTGCTCGTACAACCAAGTATAGGAACTCAACGATACCACATTTGGCCAGCCCGTGTTCTAAGTGACAGAGACAATGTTAAGCGCGAAACCTATGACTTGCTTTGTTGTTAACAACATAATTTTGGCTCTTTTATTTCGCCCTTATTTGTATTCTATAATGAACATCTTCTTAAAGATACTTAGCTACCTAAATTATTATCATTGGCTTACTTTTACCTACTTTATTCTATTCCTTCTTTTGTGTATCTACTGGTTCCGACTACATTAGCACTATGAGTATTACAAAATTGTCCTGTCATTAACCATCATGTAATATTAGTTTTGTGATTGTTCTTTTTGTTCGGCTATATTAAAACTGACAATCTTGGTTGTGAATGCCGTTATCACCATCTTAAAATTTTGTACTATGCAGGATTACTCACACTACCACTACAAACACTGCATTAGTGCTGACAATAAAAAAAGAACCCTGAAATGTTTATTTTGTGATTGTTTAGCGTTGTTCAATCAAATTAACTGATCATCTTGGCTATAAACATTCTTAATAACTTTTCATAACTTCTTGTACGCATACACATATCACAGCTTCCACTACCCAATACTGAATTATTATTTATTATTGTTGTCTATTTTCCTTTCTACTTGGTTTTTTTTTAGATTTTTTTGTTATTTTTGTGTTTTTTGTTGCTGTTGTTCTCTTATATTTATTTTTTTTGAAATACTCCTTTTACATGTGCGATAAAATTAGATGTTATATTGTAGATAAGTGCTGAAAATTCCACACTGTATCACTAGTACTGTTTCTGGAATAAAGCATATTATTATTATTATTAGAAAAAAATGGTAGCAACAAAAGTGATGAGTTGTCGCAATCATTATTGTTAATGTTAGTCAATACATGAAACAAGTTGAATAACTGAATCATAGTTACATTGTAAGATAAGTGATTTAATCAGTGAGTTGTAATCAGGATTCGAAGGAAAGTGTAGAATTATGTAGGAGTTCTAAGAAAGTGCGCGATTTGTAGGGAGTTAGAGAAACAAACAGGCAAACAAAAATCAAGTCAGCAAAAATCAACATGTTAGTTGCCATGAGAGTAGAAGTAGTTGAATAATTTTCTGTAGCATGCATAACTAGTTTTTCTAACTAAATAGCTAAGGTTTCAACAAAAGCGTGTTGGCTTTGGTAGGTTATTCGGCACTTCGTGTGTTGAGATGGAATGGCCAGTGTTAATAAGGTGTGTCTGATTATCTGACTCCTTAAAGAGCCACCTGTTTTTTATTCCTCCACGTTTCCAGTGGAGCATAGGGCTTCAAGCTAGAGTCTTGAAGTTTTCGTAGCAGTGTCTATTTTTACAGGATAGGTTTGCTAGCCTCATGCCCAACTTTTTCTCTTTACCAGCTTTACTTCTGACTTAGCGAGGTCAGAGAGTGCGTCCGCCGGGGATCGGACCACGGACCATGTGCATGGTCAGCGAGCATCTTAACCGCTGTGCCACTGGCGCCATAGAGACACTACTACTTCTCTAGAGCCATGCGGCATAGTTTTCTTGAACCCTCTTTAGATAGGACACGCGTTCAACAACCAATACGCTTGGCGTGAACGCCTGACAGCAACAAGTGAACTGATATGTGCACACAGAAGTGATCAGACGCGAGATCTTGTCCTTCTGCAGCTTCTGCAGATAAATAGACGACTGAAGAGCGCTAATCATAGCGTTGCTGCGAAGAATATTTTTCCCGAAGATGCTGAAATTCTACTCTTAAGAATATTTCAAGCCCTGCCTTTCTTGAATTCCGGGTTCATTTAGAGTCTCTGTTTTGGAACAAATAACTTTTCACTCCTCTGGACTTTTGGTTTCATAATCTTACTGATAAATCTTGGTGGGTGTCCATTTTCGATGGATAAATGCTTAAGAATATCTAGTTGTGATTCTAGAGCATCTGATTACAGATGCATCGGGTCCGAGTGTCAAGGAATTTGATTAGATCTCGTTTTCATTTAGCAGGCTTGTTGGTTGAGAGTCCTCAAAGGGTTTTCTAAAAGTCGTGTCGGGTCATAACTGTTAACTCCATATCAAGAAAAAGAATTTGGGATTCACATTCCATTACTAGCGTGAATTTTATTGCCAGATGGAGGTCGTTAAATGCTTGTAGTAAATGACTAGGGTCGTAACTATTGTCGCAAATGATGAAAATCTTATCTACCTACCTTTTATACAGTTGTAAGTTATCAATGGTCGAATTTTATGAACCGTTCTCGAGTGTTGTTTGTTTTATTTTAAAGTGATTTAAAACATATAAATGGATAACCCTATTTTCACGTCATTATTTTACTTGGTTTTCATGCCTAGAAAACAAGGTAGGGGGGTTTTTCTCTCCAAAAGTTAGCACGGAGATTTGCAGCACTCAAAAAACACTGAATAAGAACTTAATTTTTAACACTTGTGTTCATTCAATTCTTCTTAGCGAGCGGATCACTGGAAGTATTTTCAACAGGCTACTGTATACTTTTATCGACAGTTGGCTTCACTCCATAGCGAAGATCAGACAGCCTACTAGACAAAGAATGTAACAGGAAACTATGATAGGGGCACAAGAGACCAGCCTATGATCTATTGGCCAATAAATATGCAGGAAGAAATGGAGATGGTTTGTGGATATTCAAGTGATACCACATTAAGAGTCATTTAGTGGAACACAAATGGAAAGCACAGTGAGTTCCACGTTCATGGATGACATAAAAACCATTTGGGGATGAAGACGAAATGAAAACTTTTGGGTAGTTCTAGTGTCTATTGAAAGTGATAGAAGGCAGTAGAGTGGAGTCGATGTGTATACTGTTGAAGCACATCCTTCCACTCAACTTGCAAGAAGCGAATAAAAATTATGGAAGTTTGATTCATTATTTAGTAATGATAAATTATAATAATAATTTACTTTATTCCAAAAACAGTTCATATAATACAGAATGGAATTCTCAGCATTTCTCACAATACTGCATCTGATTTACTTAAAATATAAATAAAATTAAAACAAAAGTAACCAGAGGAATTTATCTACGTTTACGATATATAGTCAAAAATATTCGAAGCACGAATTGAGAATATTAAATATAATAACAATAACAACAACAGTGAGTTTGTTTCAAATAGTATTGCCGATTCATTTTGGAAACTTTAGCGTGTTATTATAGAGTATTAACTCTAATGTTCTGTTGATATTGTATAGTGAGGGGAAATACAAAATTAACAGTTATAACACAGCTTAAATGATGTTCACACTTATGAAAAAATAAACAAATAAAAGCAAAAATTGAGAGGATTATAAATATGAGAAGTACAATAACAAAAAAGGCTGATGTTGTAAGGGTGGAGGAAATGGTTTATTTATTAAAGTGCAAGGAAAGTTAGTTAGTTGGTTCATGCCTAACACTATTTTCATCACATAAAGTACGTGCCACCAAATGTGGTATAGTGGAATTTTTATACTTAGATGTACGTGCATAAAGTCTTCTGAAAAGACTTCTTGTTTTACCTGAGGAGACACAAGGTCGAAACTGCGGGTGATGTGGTGGATGCTCAGAGTCTGACAAAAATCCTTTGTCGCATGACATCAAGTGCCTATTAGTGACGATGTCAACGATATGGCCCAAGGGATACCACTCATCCTACTGACAGTCTTCAGAGTTCTACGGAGGATGACATAGTCTATTTTAAGCAATCCAGGAAAGAATAAGCAAGGGTGAACAGTAAAGAAGAAGAGGTAAGATGCACGAGTTGATAAACTGTAAGAGGAGGGGTGGTTGGGTTATACACTTCAACGCAATATTCATTTGAGTGGTTAACAAATTTCTACTAGTTTGTCTCAAAAAGAAGGACTATTAATTGCTAAGTAAGAATGAGAGTCTTCTGTTAAAAAAATAAGCAAAGAAGAGCAGTTTTATTCAGCTTAAGAAACACTGCCTCTGCTGCCATAAATGCATTTTAATATACTGCGTAAAAATTTAAAAAATGCTACGCAATAGTTGACCTATTATTGTTGTTACATCGATGTTTCTGCTGAAATTTAACTGTGATAATATTTATTGACAAGCTTAAGTGAACTTAACAGTTGCATCATATGATTAAGAGATGCATTTATTATCTTTGTATATAAACAAATGTTATGGGTAATTGCTTCATGCGAAATTTAAATACAAAAAGCCGGTTTTCATTCTCCATTAACTTTCTATTTAACAATGATAAGAAGACTTTTAAAATTATTTTTACTCAGCAATTATTTGCTATTAATATTCTTTAAATCAAACTATGGACAAATGTTCAACTCTGGACTGCATCTAAATGATGTAATGAATGAAGCTCAAAGACGATCAAGCAATTTAACTTCTGGAAGCTCTAGTGAATCAACTGATAGTGATGATGAAAGTGAACGTGTTTTTAAATTTTATACAGTACAGGGTAAAAGTGATCGAAAAACCAAATCAAATGACTTTGCTCATAAACGTTTTGAAGGTGACTTCTATTCACGAGGCTATTCAAGATATGGTGATGTGGATTCAGAGTCGACAGTATTTAAATATGCTGGCATCATGGGACATAATGGGAGAAAGAAAAAAACCTATTCTGATAGTGATACAATAGGCAGTTCAAATAGATATAATTATAGATATTTTAAAGATAATTTTAAAATTAAAGCAAAGTCAAGAAATTATCACAGAGAAGATGATAGTGAAACGATGGATGCTCATGGGGAGAAGACACGTTTCCAAGGAGAAATACGAGACACAACTTCTGTTAATGATGAACGGAATGGAGGGACTGAAAAACATAGCGAAGAGGATGGAAAAAATTCGGAAAGGAAAGAATTCTCAAACGAGTCTAAAAGGGATGGAGGAAAACCACTAGTTGCACGGCCTATACCAGGTCCGGAACAAGAATAGTAACGTAATAAAATGGTATATATATATATATATATATCCATATGGGGTTGTTTTATGTCAGGTTAAATCAGAAGTAATTATTATTATTATTCAACTTATCACAATAATATTTTAATATCTGTTATGACTGAAAAAGTGAACACATTGTTATAATGCTAATGATAATAATAATATAATGATTTCATATATGTTATTCTTTCTTTATAAATTCTGAACTTCCTAACTCTATCAAAGAAATGAAATTGAAAAGATCGTGGGTTTGATTTTTTTCGTTTTTTTGATTGACTTTCTTTTGATAAATACATAAGGTGAGCTGGAGTGTGGAATTTAGTACAGATGACCCCTAGGACGTGTGTTGAGCATGCCAAACCACTACTTTCCTCACCAATCAGTGTTAACCGTCAATAGGAACAGACTAGAGAAGAGTTAATAATGGTCAAACGCAAAATTCTGGAATAGGTCATAGAAGTCTTTCACAGTTGAATTCAGCCGTCCATACAACGAGGTAGTGACTGTTTGCTTTAGGCCGTTTGGATTCTAAGAACAAATGATCACTGAAGACTATTAGCAATATTGTTCACAACAGTTCTAAATCGTTCAGATTTATTCATTGTTTGCGATCTCCTAGATATATTAAGTCAAAACCAAGTTCACTTTCAACAATTTGAAAAAGTTTAGGCACTGGTTATATAATATTCATTACAATTAAGGTAATTTTTTATTTCCCAATGAATGAAAAACAAAAAGATATTGTTGCTCTTACTGACGTTTCGCTATTTAATGCTGCTGCTAATAGCTTTATCAAGGTGGTATGATTAAACCGGAATTTACAAAATCTCCTCAGCTAATATATAAAAAAGAGTTAAGGGGTGAGAAAATAGACAAGTTAGGTCAAGTTAAAAGGACATATTGAAAGTCAAAATAACGACGGAAATCACTAAACCAAATAACAAAGGTAATAGTACATCTGTTATGATATCAAAATAAAGTCTACTAACTTGACCATCATTCGTCTGTCTGGGGTCATTTTTCGTTGTCGAGTCGGTCAATTGGTAAAGATAACAAAACAAGTGTAAAAATTTAAAACAATTAGTTCCCTTTATGAATTTAGATAAGGCAATAAGAAGACGTAATTTGTCTAAATCGTGTAATGTATTTGCGCAACACATTTCGAAGACAATCTGATCACACTGACTTGTCACAGGAATATATATGAAATTAATAAAGAGGTAAGAGGTGAGAAAATAGACTTAGATCAAGTTGAAAGGACATATTGAAGGTAAAATAACGATGAAGATCACACTTAACCAAATAGCAGAGGTAATAGTACATCTACCCAGGCTGGTATCAAAACAAAATCTACCAAGGAAGGTGGTTTAATGTGATGACGAATTGTTTTTGAATGCATATAGGTGGCTTAAACTTTCTAACTGCCAGCTAGGGCTTCCACAAACTTTAGGATACGCCCCAAACACATTTTATAGATAGGTTTAAAAGATCTGTTAACATTTTATTTTATTTTTTTTATTTTGATTTACAGCTTGATTCCACACCGTATTTTTGGTACAAGTATGGAATTTTCAGCATGGATATCGGTAGCCCAAATTTTGCAGGCCGACCATAGATATCAGGTGTGCGCCGGCAGGGGATCGAACCTCGGACCATGTGCATGGTCGGCGAGAGTCCTAACCACTGTGCCACCGACGCACATCAATTTTATGTCCTGTCTCTATAATATGTTTCGCAATAGAAGAGCTAGTTCTCCTGTTCTCACCGTTAATAGGTTCTGAAGATTCCATTTGTTTTTGGAGCCATTTTGGAACACACTCTGAAGCCCTTATTTGCAGAGATCGATGAGTCCTCCCTTTGTATGTGTGTCCACACGTACATTCAAATTGGTGAATACAGTGGGATGTGACACCATTTTTCGCATGTTCGAAGGCTTAGATAGATATATTGGCTTTACATTCTCTATTATTATGATATTAGCTGCATAAAATGTCTTTTTAACAGCAGTGTTAAGTCTTTGTCTAGTTATCAAGCTGCTTTGATGCCCCATTTATAGGGTAGCTTGATGTACACGTCTTTCTTGTTCTTCGATTTGACTAGTGTGTAAAATTATAAAAGCAGTGTGTGTTTACATAATGAACTTATCATTCGTGTTGATTTTGTCACTTCATGGGGAAGGGGTGTGTTTTAACCAGGTCAGATTCTGTTCTAATCCATCATTCCTATTCACACAATTGGGATTCCATTTGATATGATATCGTTTTGTTTTTCATTCATTGGGAAATACAAAGTCATATTTCTTTATTCTACCGTTGTTTCTCTCGTAGATCCTTAATTCATTTTAATTCCTTTGTATTTCTTTCTTCCATCATTCAGAAGTTTTTGTGTGATACACAGAAGAATGTGGTAACTTGAATTGCTGAACTTCTGAGCAAAGCTGTATTTGGAAAATCGGTCAGTGTTCACTGATATTCCCTGATGTAAAAGATGATGTGTATTGAAGTAATCACATATACTTTAGTATTATTGTTTGACAAGACATTCCGCTTAACATTAAAACTGGTACTGTTTCTAATTTAATTGCAATTCGTATGCATGAAAGAATGATAAGAAGTTGTTAATAGCCAATTTATAAGCCAGTGGCGGCAACATTTTACAAAACATTCTGTCCTAATGGCCAACTTCTCAACGTGGTGTCCTAAAAACCTGAAGTTACTGAGTTTGATCACCGGTAGGGTGGTGTGCGTGCGTGCGTGTGTTTCTACTTTTGAGGATAGAAAACTTTGCCCTTTATATATGTTTACAACAAAAAGACTGTGCAGAGATCACTTGTCTAATTATCTACTAGTTTTGCTAATCTGCAGACTTTGATAAGATTTCTAATTTCGTGTTAAATGTCAGAGCAGTACTAATGACATCTCTTAAATCATCAGCTCTACGTGAAACTAATTACCCTGATGGAAATAAAAAAAATGTACAGGGTGAGTTACTTGACTACCGATTCCCCTGAAAGACTGCACGAGTGACAGGTATGAAGAAGGGTGAGTGGATAGTTGGAATTCCTTTGCAAGTTTGAATAAAGCAAAAAAAAAAGAAAACGGTTTGTGCAGAATGAGATGTCAGCATCATTTATTTCGTTGGCTTCTCAGCAGCTGCGTACATCCTAAAGAAATTAATAATAATAAGTTGTTTTATTCCTGAAACAGTACTAGTGGTACAGTGTGGAATTTTCAGCACATATCTACAATTTTGCATCTAATTTTATCAAACACTTAAAAGGAGTATTTCAAAAAATAAATATAAAAAACAACAAAACCAAAAACACAAAATAGCAACAAAATGCGAAAAAATACCAAGAAGTAGAATGGAAAATAAACAGCATAATAAATAATATCTCAGTATTGGGTAGTGGAAGCTACGATATGTGAATGCGTGGTGAACAGTAAAAGCTATCATCATACAAGAAGTTATGAAATGATATTAAGAATGTTTGTAGCCATGATGATCAGTTAATTTGATTGAACAACACTAAGCAATCCTAGAATAAACATTTCAGGGTTCTTTTTTTATTGTCAGCACTAATGCAGTGTTTGTTGTGGTAGTGTGAGTAATCCTGCATAATACAAAATTTTAAGATGGTGATAACGGCATTGACAACCAAGATTGTCAGTTTTAATATAGCCGAACAAAAAAAACAATCACAAAACTAATATTACATGAAGGTTAATGACAGGACAATTTTGTAGTACTCATAGTGCTAATGTAGTCGGGACCAGTAGATACACAAAAGAAGGAATAGAATAAACTAGATAAAAGTAGGCCAATGTTAGTAATTTAGGTAGCTAAGTATGTTTAAGGTGTTCATCATAGAATTCAAATAAGAGAGAAATAAAAGAGCCAAAATTATGTTATTAACAACGAAGCAACTCATAGGTTTCGCGCTTAACATTGTCTCTGTCACTTGGAACACGGGCTGGCCAAATATGGTATCGTTGAGTTCCTATACTTGGTTGTATGAGCATATATTATTTTGTAATGATTTCTGGTTCTACCTGATGAGATGCAAGGAGGGAGTTGGGAATAGAGGGGGTGTTGGGGGTTGGAGATTATGGTTTTAGACCACTTTTCGCATGTATTCAGATGCCTTTCTACTAATGTAGTGACGAGCTGACTGAGTTTTACACCACTAGTTCTACTGACTACCTTCAACATCCTTCCCAGAATGGCATAGTCCTTTTTCAGAAGCCCAGGAAAGACTAATGAGGAGCAGTAAAGTAGAGTAGTTAAGATACGAGAGTTGACAAATTGTGAATGCAGAGGTGTGGGGTGGGGTGATCCCAGATAGTCTAAGTTTATAAATGTAGTAGGCTAGACGAAACACTTTCTTAGAAATCGCTAGGATCTGAGATGACCATATAAGGTCGGAAGATAGAACTACTCCGAGGTATTTTTCATTAGACTTCGTTTCAATTTTAGTTCTCTCAATGCTACAGGCTTCATGAGTGCTTTGTGGTGTTTGTAGATCTCGTTTATGCCTAAAGGAGAAGTCAACATCCTGGCATTTTGAAGGATTCAGCATGAGGCCATTTAGTTTAGACCACTTTGTGTACAGACTAGTTTTAACGTACTTTCAAATGTTACATAATGTCAGCTAATGGGAGGCTCCAACCCTAATAAACAGTGTTCACAAATTACATTGACAGTTTATACCCAGAAAGTTAAAGTCTACACAAAAATAAATGCTTGTAAACAATGACAGAAGAGTTACGTAAAAGAAACAAGAGGTGAATAAGAGGATGAGTGACTAATAAACTGATTAACAATGTGGTGATTTCATATCATATCATAGGAACAACGGACAAGCGCAGGTACACTCCATAGGTTACCGACACATTTTCTGATGATAGCAATTTGATCTGATTCATTAACTCTCCTATTATTATTTCCAATCTTTTATTTAAACTACTTATTCTGAATAAGTAGGATGAGTA